CACACACACACACACACACACACACACACACACACACACACACACACCAATTAACTTAAAAAGCCTAAATTGTATGTTTTTGCTAAGAAAATTTAGACTGTGTAAAAGCTTGTTTTGATTTTTACTGCAAACAGAAGGAGCAAGAAAATGAACAGAAAGAGAGAGGAAAAAACAGAAATTATGCAAGAGACCGACAAGTTTAGATGAACAGTAAAATTTACATTTTCTCACATAATTAAATTAAACTCTAATCACAACAACTTGTTTCTTAATAAACCTTAATCAATCACCCAGCCATTATTTTTGATGTATCTAAAAAGGAAACAAATCTTTCTACGCGTGGTAACTTCACACCACACCCTTGATGAGTATCAACCCTCAGAAGATGTGATACTAACTCATCTTCCCTTTAAAAACGAACAACAGTTCATAAAGAGGTCACTAAATAATGAATCAGTGATCACACCCTGGTAACCTCTTCCACACCACAGGCCTGCTGTTTTCTGGTTTCAGGTATCGCATCTCTTTTTGTTRGATTATAATGCTTTTTTTCCCTCAGACTAAAATGATACCTTCCCTATTTTATTAATTGAAAACCTATACTTTATTTATTACCGATGACCTGATACACTACAACACATGGGGGGTAAGGATTATAAATGGATTAATGCATGCTTTATAAGCACAAGAAATATCCAAAGTAGTATAATTTGGAAAGTAAAACTCACTGCGTATCTGTCTCTTGATTTCCTTTGTGGGATCCAACCAACACTGTGGAGAGAAAGACACAAAGTAAAAAGAAAACAAGACTCATCAATACTAACATTCAGCTCCAGACTAACTACATGTTTCAGTTCCTACTGATGTTGTTGACATATGTGTCAATAAAACATACCTTCTCTTCATGGTTGTCCTTGTATGTCAGACCAAAGTAGTCTTTCTCCAGCAGGTTAAGGTGCTCGCACACCTTAAAGAATAAGTACTGACCCTTAGCACGTTTCTGCAATGACACAATAAAAACAGGAAAACTGACATTAAAAATATTTTATTACATTGCTTTGCACTATAGAGGATTTGGTTCAAACAGGATAGTTCAGATTGTTTTGTGGTTCTATGGGAAAACTGATCTTTCTAAGTTGTCATGTCAATCTGAGTGAATAAGAAAGGTAGCATGACTTCTCGTTTTTTTGAAGACGTTTTACTTCTCATCTAAAAGGCTTCTTTCAGTTCATCTTSATTAAACCCAGTTGCCTTCACTTACCCAGCAGACTTAACACCACCATATTTGCTGTATAATATTTGTTAAGCAGTTAGGAATGACTATTATCTCACCTGTTGTAGACTGCTCTTTGAACAACRCCAATTTGAAAACAGATTTAAATTGGCACTGAAGAGCTAATAACTACATGGAGCCAAGATTTAAAATTCTATATAACAAATCTATGTGTAATTCAAAACTGATGCTGAGGTATTGTTTCTGAATTAGCATTCACTCTACGTTTTTGGTTGGCAACATTCTACTTTAGCCTTGGTCCCATTATGACTAGCCATTAGCTTGTCAATGCAGTCAGAATTAAACTCTAACTAGAAGCACTCGGAGAGTGCAAACCTCCGCCAAGGCCATTTTCCCCATCCTGTAAGAGTTAAAGCACAAAAAACAGAGATGGAAACACATTTGCCGAATAAGTTCTGACGTAGTGAACATTTAAGCAGGCAGTATGCATGGAATTACTTCTCGGTGGAGCGCAACGTGAAAAAAACAAAAAGTCAGAGTCGTCACCCGACATTCATCATCAAACTGGTGTTGGATTAAGCTCCTAAGTTTTTATCAGTCACATTGCACCGTGTAAAACATCTGTTTTATCCCCTTGTATGAGTTTGTAATGGTTTGACTCTATAAAGTGCTTCCTGGCTCCCCCCCATCTCCAAACTTTGAGGCCTGGCCAGAAGCTCTGTGTTTGCAAGCCTAGTAGCGAGAAACTGTTTTGACTGTTGTTTTGGAAATGTGGTGTGTTTGAGGAAATGGGAAAAATAGGTTTCATGGTGCAGTCACGCCTTTCCTGGTCACAAAACGTTCTGTAAATGCGCATATTATGGCAAAAATTATTCATCATTAAATGTGGTTTTAACATTACTTTTATAAAGTTTGAAGTCCGTGCTGTCCAATCCAGCTCATTGTTTTTTGACAGAAGCCCTGTGAAAGCATCACAGCTTTGCCGATCTCAGAGTGTTAAAAGAAAAAAAATTCCTGTATCAGCATCGTGATCCGGAACATCACCAAAATGTAAAGGTGTGTTCCTTGGCCCAGTACCCACATGTGATAAAAAATGTCATGACAATCCGTCCACAAGTTTTTGAGTAACGTTGTCCACAGACAGAACGACAGAACAATAGACAGACATACGCGACCAAAAACATTACCTCGCCCTTGGCGGAGGTAATTATTCAAACTAAGGTCATCCAAAGAACTATGAATAACAGGGAAGTATATATTGTTCATAAACTTTCTAGAACACTGCCTTTCAACTCAAAGCTCTCCATGTTTGCTCCTTTATCTGTTTCATTTATTTATTTACTGAACTTCTCCATCTTTCTCCAGGCAACACATTCCTTCATAAGCCCGACGCAAGCCTTAGCCATAAAATCCTCCAGACTCAGCTATGACAATGACATTTAGCTTTGGACCATGTCTGCTTGCACAACCATGTGCACACAGACAGCACCCTTTGGGAGGACTGAAGGTCAAGAAAGAGGGTGGAAAAAGCAGTGAACGCATCAGAAAGAATGAAGTAATTATAAAAGGCTGAATTCTTGTTGGTCTCAGTTTAGTCAGCTCAGCCCAGCAGACAGAGAGCGACATTACTCAGATGGGCTGACAGACAGGGCACGGAGCGCGCTGGATGTTGGAGGAAGAGAATGAAAGAATGCATTTTTCTTTTTGTCTTGGGACAGCTGAAACATCTGTGGTATTTTCCTATACATGGTAAAACTCAGACAGCACACACTCAGTGCAAAATGTAAGTCAGAACGCAAACTTTTAACATTTCTGCTCTGCGACTCCCAGATATTTTTACCCACTAAATACATACTTAAAACTATTGCAGTACTTATTAAAATTAAAATAAAAAAACAATGATACCAGTAATACTTCTCTAATATTTGGAATTCACTTTAAATGACACAACAAAGAAAGTTGCTGCATTTATCACATTATGGTAAAGCATTATAGTATTCAACATAAAATAAACAGCTGAATGACATTAAAAATTGTACCTGTATGATAAAATTACGAAAGAAAAAATTAAACATTATACAAAAAATGAACTAAAAATAAGTCTGTCTTGGGCTTCTTAACAATTAAGAGTGAAATTAGTTAAACCAAAAGCAAAATGTTTGCAGCAATTGAAAACCTAAATATTTTTTTTATTCTGTTTAAACCACCTGACACTAAAATCCTGTTAAAATTGAATTTGAATGATGTGACAATACGAGCTCACAGGACAGCAAGACGACAGAAGAATCAACAGGGGGTCAGAGTGGAAAGTGTCTGTGAACGTCTGTGGAACGGTGCATATCGGAGGCCTGCTTTGCAAAACAGATAATCTAATCTCTGGAATGCATTGTGCATCCGTTCCTCTCTACCTATGCCAGCATGGTGGAGGGAGGTGATAGATGGATAAGAGTGTGAATTGTGTGTGTGCGTTCTCTATAGGACAATAYCAGTTAGCTGCGGTATCAGCATTATCTGTCAGGACACAAAGCGGCTACTGTTCAGACGACTGTAGACTCTCATGGGCACGCTCAGTGGGTGCTGGCAGGCTGTAGATCAGAAGGGCAGGTTTAGTCGTTTACTAGCGTGAAATTCTAAAAATCGAACGTTACAATCTTGGCCCAGGAATTGATAAACATGCTATTTAGGGATCCTTGAACCAGAGAGCCAAACACAAAGAAGTGACCTTGGACAAAGGCTTTTTTTGGTAGCTTCCCACTCAATGGGGTTGAGTGTGGGAATGTGAGGGGTGGTAGAGCTAAAAATGTGCATGCTACTTGGGAAACATTTTCATGCATAATTTATTGTAAAAATGAYGAAAATGCTACATGTTGATGGTTGGATTAAAGAGCAATTAAAATGCCAAGCTTTTACCAAGAAATAGTACAGAAGAGACACCAGCGTCGGGAATAAGTGGTATTATTTATTTCTTTATTTCTTTCTTTATTTAATTAATACTGTTAAGCCTTTCTCCGTTTAATGTATACAGTCTTACCAAATGAGACTGCTGTGGTTTGTGGAGGTTTGTACTTGATACAWGAATTTTCCTGTTTGAATTTCTTAAGTCTGATTTATAGTCAATAAGAATTCCCATTCTTGAGTCTCATTTACGCAGGTGCGTGACAGAAAATATGAAGTTTGCTACTCTTAACACCTGCTGAGAGACAATCTTGCGCATTACCCCAATCACTAGTAGACAGCACTATGTGTCAAGCATTGTGTGATTGGTCAAAACCTCATGGGTGTGTTTGTTTACATAAAGTCTGAACACCGTCTGCAAACATAAGAGTTCTGCCACACACTAAAATGACAGTGAAACTATTAAATGAACAGGTCATGCATTGGTACTGGAGTGGAAAGGTTGTGCCATCAACATGGCAGAGTTGGGGTTTCCACCTTGAAATGCACTAATCTTCCTGCAGTACCCATCCTAAACAGTAGGTGTTGTTACAGAAAACAATAATACTGCTAGAAAACAGCAGAAGAAGAGTTTACAGGAAGTATGCCGTTCATACTGTCAACTYTGAAGAAAAACTAAGCATCTGACAGAAACCTGAAGGCTGAAACCAGTATTCCCATCAGCTGTGTCCAGTACAAGTTTTAAGTCCTGGCCCATTTATGTAAACAAACTGGACACTGCCTTATTAAATATGTAAAACAAAAATGAAAGGCTGAGTCCATCACCTGGATCTTGATGGCCTAAATTTTATGCTGTTGCTTCAAAGACAAATAAACTACACTACCAACTTGTCTGCACGTCAAATGATGCTCTGCCTGTCTGTATGAGTGTCTGAGGGTTTAGTGCATGGAGCTGTTAGGAAGCAACAMATGCTGAAAACTAATCTGATGAGACCACCTAATCTGTTGTGTGTGAGTGCGTATGTGTGTTTTAGTCACCAGACATGTTCCTGCAACGTGCGCTCCTGCATTTATCCGCTACACCCCAAACAATGAAAGCAGGTGGTTCCACCAAAACTGCATTTTAAGTCTGAAAGTTAAACCGTCCGAGCTTATACCCCCAAAAACACTCTGGATCTGATCCTATTAGCAATTATATCACTGTCATAACGCCACTCATGGGTCACTAACAGAAAAACGAGGATGTGTCAGCACTTTTGATTTGAAAAAAAAAAAAGCTTTTTATACCAACAAAACTAGTAACAGTTCAAAAGCATACATTAAATACATACATTTGTTTTAAAACAACTGATCTGCTCCCAGCTCTAAATTTAAACATGTAAATTTGAAACACATTTGTTCTACTTTTTCCATCATGTTCTGTGCAAGCATTCTTTGCACTACTTCTCAGTCAGTCTTACCTCAACCTCACAAGTGAAGTCAGTCCCATCCAGGAGGGCGACATGGCACACTACCACCTTCATCTTGGTCTTTCTCACCAGGCGAAGTGGAGACTGGAAAATGGATGTCTGGTTCTCTCCTCCCTCCCCTTCAGCCTCCACCTGTCCTTTCTCTTTCTTCTCCTCCTCAGCTCCTTCTCCCTCTTTTGTCTCCTTGGTCTCGTCTGAGCCTTTCTCTGCTCTCTCCTCCACCTTCTCTTCTTTGGCCGGCTGCAAGGAAAAAACAGAAAGCAATAACGTCTGCCAAAAGTTACACAAGCTACGCCAAAGAAGTTCAGATTTCTTCATTTGCATAAGTAAATGACTGTAAAGGTTTAAGCCTTTTAAAACTTTTTCCCAGGTTAAAAGTGGACATGTGCTTTTAAATCCTTATTTTTACCACTGAAATCATTCAGTTGGGGTCTAAAATACAACTGCAATGCTTTGGTCTGAATTCCTCCTTATTGTAACTTCACAAGCCCCTCTTTCACCCCCTTTCTGAGGTGTATCTCAAAGCAGCTTGTTTAAATGCTGTTCCTTTAAATCCAATTGAGGCACTTCACACACCGCCCCCGCTCAAAACCGGTTCATTTTCACTTGATAGAAGAGGTTATGGCTTCATAGCAGGACAGAAACATTTTATTTACAATTAAAAGATGTCAACAACACAAGGCTTGTCCATCCAGTTCTGCATGTTGGAGCCAGTCTGACCCAGAGATGAGAATGTAGATGACAAAATTTTAGTTAGTCCCTAACTTATTTGGCAGTTCCGTCAAAAATATTGTTAGAAAACGTCACAGAAAATAGAGAAAACTGAACAAGTACCAAGTTCTCACTCCCAACTCATCACATATTGACGCTTTTCCAAGGTTCCCTCTGATGCATCAGGTAACCCCTTTGCGTCAGTTATTTACGCACCAGTGGTCGGATTTATAAAACTGGCGTACCCACAATATGAGCCCAGAAACGTGCGTACGCCACTTTTTACGCCAAGGTTGTGATTTATAAAATCCAAACTTGACGTGAAAATGTGCGGTGCCTCACGCCAGCTTTGACCCATGCGTACGCTAATTTTGGAGATGGGAAACTGCGACACAGATGGTGAAGTGAGGAATTAGAGCCACACTGTGTAATGATCACTGTCAGATATTTAATTTACCTTCATCAGACTTAGATTTTTATTCAACTTTATCATCAGCTTTCTTAACAGTAATATTTATGCTTCTGCTGCTGAGCCATGAGGACCTTTGAAAAAAAAAAAAATTAAATCTTAAATAAAAGTTCCCGTGCGCAACTCCCTTCATCTGCTTCCTCCTCAGACGACCCTGACCCACAGACCCCTCCCCGACAAGAACAGCAGGACAGCAAAAGTCACGCTTTGGATACATGCGCAGGGCGCATCCACCTCGCCAGTGTGAATGTTATAAAACTTCATGTTTAAAGTCCGTATTTGTCGCGTACACACGCGGGGGGATGCATGCGCGTGTGTGTGTGCGCGGGGCGGGGGTGTCTGCCGCAGATAACAGAGCAGGCAGGAGGGGGAGAGGATGAGGAGAAGAGCGGTGGACTTATTTCTAATTTTATCTGACTTATTTAATTTTATTTTTATTGTTTTTATCGTCCTGCGGGCTCTGAGGGAAAATTAATTTGAAGCTGAGTTTTTTTTAAATAAAAATCATTAGATTACTCTAAAGCAAAATGAGGGAAAATCTGTGTCAATTACAGACATTCTGTTCACGTGAGCAGCTGTCAGTCAGCACCTGTCAACCTCCAGACACACGATGGAGCGTGTATGAACCAATCACTTTTGTTGGCATTGATCAGCTGACTGATTTAAATACATCTTAACATTCATGAGGTACTTTACATTGACTGTTTATGGTTGAATGTGGGCATGTAGAGGGTAGAACCTGAGGCGGGACCTCGTGCGCAAACTCTGACGTGCGGCTGTGATTTATAAAGGAAAGATGCGCAGAAAAGTGCGTACGCACAGTTTTATAAATCTGAAATTTTTTTTGGCGTACGATTTCCYCCTTTTGGCCATACGTTCACTTTTAGTATGGTTTCCACACAATCCTTTATAAATGAGACCCCAGGAATTTCCGGGTTCCCTTGGCGTCCGGTTTTGACGCGTTGGAACACATAATATAGGGGTCTTTGAGTTGGGGTCCGTGGTTAATATTAGGGATCAGGGTTAATGGTTAATTTTAGGTACTAGGGTCAGGGATAGGATGTCTAGGGCAAATATTAGGTCATTTTAGGGTTTGGAACACGTAGTTGATGTGAATTTCCTACAATTTCTAAAAACGGTTCATTTTAGGTACTACGGTCAGGGACAGGATGTCTTGAGCGAATAAAGGTAATTTTAGGGTTTGGAACGGTTGTTTTTTTTTTTTGGTTTTTTTTTGGTTTTTTTTGCATTTTCTATACTTACTGAAATTATGACAATGGATTCTGCCCCATCTCGTCAATAACTGACGCGAGGGGGGTACCCGACGCGTCAAAACAGACACAGAGGGAACCTTGGAAAAGCGTCAATATGTGACGAGTTGGGAGTGAGAATGAGCTGGAACGGGCTGAAAAATATGACCTAAACAGAATATGAAGATATCTACGGAGCACCGGAAAAAAACTAACATGAACTTTTTGAGACACAACAAATTTTGCGTGATAATTCCCCTTCTTCTTCTGTAAACTCCACTTTTTAATTCTGAAGCTGGGTAGAGAAAAAGGGATATATCTTTTGGCTTGATGTTTAAAATGCTGATGTCAATGGGTGGACCTGCTTGGGTGGAAGAGTTTCTGTGTGTATAAGAGAAAWCAGTTTTGTCATTTCAGTAGATTGAAAATGAGTTTTAAAGAGTAAACATTGTGTTACAGCATCTCAAGTTTGTGTTTCTGAACACACTGTCCATGACATTTGTAAAAAAACAAAACGTGTTTTTTGTATTTATGTCACATATCACGTTTCTTGCGTCTACACATTCCAGCGTATTATGAGGCATTACTGGACTGACGTGCATATGAGAGCAGACCTGATGCTGCGGTGTGAGTAATAACAGTCTTACATACAGTATGAGCAATACCTCGGTGTCTGCGCTGGCGTTGGAATGAGATTCTGCTTCCTTTGCTTGCTCCAACTTTACTTCCTTTTTCTCCACTTCCTCGGCGTGACCGTTCACTTCTGGGACAGGGCCTTCCTCTTCCTCTGTCGCCTTGCTAGCAGGTTCCTCTGAGGGCTGGACTTCTTTAGTCGGGGAGGTCTAAAAGGGTTTGAAAAAAAAAATCAGTCGACCTAACAAACATATTTGATAACGTTGCACCGTAACATCCGTGTCAGAGTGTATTACCTGACTTTGAGACTTCTGCTTCTTAAACCATGTTGGTAGATATCGAGTTATCCCTTTGCCGTCTTTTTCCTTCTCCTTCTCTCCTTCAGCGTTTGCTACTTCCTGGGATTCCTGCTTAGCCTCCTCCGATTGGTCTGGCTGAGCAGCTGACTCCTCTGCGTTCTCCTTCACCTCCGTCTCAGAGCCTGCTTCTGTTGTCATGGTGACGGGTCAACCTGCAGAGCGAAGGGATGAAGGAGCATTAAACCGAATGTTATTTTAACGACTGTCTCCGWTGCACAAAACAGGCAACAGAACAGGAATAAAAGATACTCTGTAACACATCTGCACATAAATGATTTATAAATACTCATGGATTTGCTTCTATCTTTGCAAAAGTAGATCCAATCACATGAACCCAAGACATCTCTGAGGAAGGAGTTTCCATGTAGGACAACAGCTAAACAGCTGGTTCCAGCAGTTACACATTATCGAGCACACATAAAAACAAAGTGAAAAGGGGGGGAATTACTCAATTCTTCAACCATGAGTCACTGCGTTAACCCTGCAGCTGTGGTCAACATGCACACACACATCAACCCAAATGTCTTTGGCAGCCCTGTCCACACACACCCCATCAAAGCAACAAACACTTTTTATTCCCCGTGACCTTAATGTGGTGATAACACTGCATGACCATGACAACGGCTCTGAGGGAAAGTTGAGGTCATAGATGGGTTCGCAGGAAGGACYTTTGAATAGCTTTCAATAACCAGCTTTTAGTAAATAAACAAGGCTGTGAGTGGCGTCACCAGAGAGGGTGGTGGTTTGGGCTTCACTGATCTTGGTTGTAGTTCAGCAGGAAAACAAGTTATTGGTCTGATCAGAAACAAAGATCTGAGAAAACAAAAAAACAGCAAATACTGTATGGTGGAGAGCAAACATATAAACCTTTTTATGCACAAGATGTTTGTTTTGATTAGGGCTGGTTAAAAAAACAATTTAATCATCTTGGATCGATTTCATTTATATTTGGGAAAAATCCTTTCATAGGGCATGAGATCGATTCTTCCCCATGGCGTCTTGTGCATGATGAAGCTGAGGCGTGAATCGAAATTGAATCGATTTTGAGAACTGGCCATGATACCCTGCCCTAGTTGAGATTATTAATTTTTGCTCAAATCATTTTAATGAAAGTAAAAACAACAATGGAGCCCTAGTATCACTCACCGTTTTTTCAAAATTTCTTTGCTTATTTTTGACGTTTTTCTTCTTTCATCGCTCAGACCATGTTCRCCCTTCCTTCTCATTTGATGGTTTTTCGTAACATCGTCATGATTTTCCTTAACATTCTCCGACTTTCTCTTTTTTTACTCTGACGTTAACAAAAGAGGACACACACTCTCACACAAACGTCTATACTGCAGCAGTGGAGCGTAGGGAGGGGGTGGGAGTAAAAATAGAACAGGTCTTCTTATGCATGATTGGCTAATGATGCAGGGCGGAAGAAGGTTGATGGATAAATGTGTGTGCGTGTCTGTATGTGTGAGAGAGGCGATAAGCTATATACCACAATTCATCTTTAGATTAAAAGATATGTGTGCAATTATTTTTTATTTATTGTATTATTTATTTTAGCAGGGACAGTACAACAAATCTTTATCACCCATAGGCAGTCAGCATACACAAGGCTTCTAGCTAAAAGCTAATTTACAGCCCAGGTTAGGCTTTTTGATCTGAACACAATAAATGTTAATGGCATAAAGGAGTACAGTGCAGTTACAATTTACACAAATAAAATACATTACAATAATTGTGCAGATTAAATTTCAGTGTTCAGTGTTCTTGTTCTTTCAGCCAGTGCTGAAACTAACAGCAATTAATCGTAAGTAAAACTATTCAACAATTAATATTTGCCATTTTGCAATTAGTGCCATGTGATTTTTGTGCACGATGCACTAGGGCTGCACAATACAACAAAAAAATTTTGTCATCGCAATAACAGCCTGTGTAGGAGGCGTATAGCAAAAACTGCATAAACTGCAATAAATGGTTGCCTCAAATGTTTGTATTTATGTGTTTTAATAACCAGACGGAAACTTAAGTATGTTACCAGTCAAATAGAGACCTTCATGTATTTGGTCAAATGGAAAGATCTCTTCATAATTTTTTAAAGTTCATGCTGGAATGGAAATGATGTATTAGTTTTTTTTTCTCTGAACCCAGAGCAGAGACATCAACCCTACTTGTTCATTTATCAGAAGTCATATCATTGCAATATTAAGCCCTGTTATTATCGCACATCTAAGGTTTTCCTAATATCTTGCAGACCTACAATGCACAATGAGTAGCCCAATGGTGGAAGGTGGCGTAGAGCAGTTAATGCTAACCCTACAAACGTATTTAATCACAGTAAACCGGAGTACAAGGGAAGCAAAATGTCAGCCACATGAAAGTGCAATTGTCATCTATTAATCATCATATTAATTGTTATCGGCTAAATGCTAAGTCAAGTCAACTTTATTTATATAACACATTTAAAAAAAAAAACTGCGGTTGGCCAAAGTGCTTCACATGTTGCAACTATTAAAACAAAGCATTACAAAAAATACACAAATAATAATAAACCATAAAACAGACCAAATAAATAGGGAAAACAACTCTCATACTACATTAAAAGGCTTTTGAATATAGGTGTGTTTTAAGATGAGATTTAAAAACTCCAAGAGTTGAAATGCTACATTTAAAAGGGATAATTTTTTGTCAACACTGCCCAACCCAAAACCCTAACCATCATATAGTCTTTAAAACAGGTTTTTGTTACTACCAACTAGCTGCAGTTCCTCGTCCTCAGAGACAGTCTCTCAACGGACTRGCTCAGAGTGTTTGTGTGAGATGGCACCCAGCTGGCGCTTCGTCACGGCGGCTTAAGTCTGCTTTAAAAACTCACACTCCTTCTGTACAACTATTGAACATCGGGAACCTTGTTCTCCTTCTTTCACCTATCTCTTCAGTCCAGAGAGCCCCTCTTTCTCTCTTTCACTAAATCTCTACACTCATCTTTTATCTCTTTTCCCAGGCCCCATTTAAACCTCCTGTTACATGCATTATCTTTGTCTAAACTCATCCTCTATCTCCTTTTTTCCAATTGCGTAAAAACTAAATCTGCCACGGCGTAACAATTCCTGCCATTTACAAATGTTGATCAGTTTAGACCAACTTTAAAGCATCTGACGTTAAGTGTTCCCAAGCTACAACTGTAACAGATGTTTCAGACAACTGAGGTCAAATGCAGGGTAAATGTGCTGAGTCATACGCTCATCTCCATGTTTCTTCACCAAACACTAACATATCTTCTCTCATAATTTGTCTCTAGGTGTGTAACTGCACTCCTTGGACACTGTTTCACTTAGTGAGCTATTTCTCAGTTAATTAGTGAGGTTTAGAAACCATAAAGAGGCATGAAGAACCAAACAAATTCACTCTAAACAAACACAATCATATCTACAAAAGACTTGACTTGTATCATGTACACACAAATACCAAAACGGTGTCACACTTGTCGCAACGTTTTCTTGACATATTCTGCTGATCTTTAGCTCCATTTCTATCTAGTGCTTCGTTAGAATATTCTAACCTTTCAATCATTATCCAAAAGCTTGGCTACTTTCTGTTTAACACAACTTCAACCATTAAATATGGCGTGAAACACATAAAGAGGTGTTGAGCACAACTATCACAAAAGTAAATGATTAGCCAAGATGAAAAATGAACCTTTTAAATTGCTGCAGGACATTGAATGGTGCCATAAAGCTCTACTGTAGTAGTTTTTCAGCCGCACTTCACCAAGCAGTAAATCTGTACWTCTTCCACCTGTTATACCTGCCTGTTAGTATTTATTTTAAAATGAATAATTGAATTAGTGGGTAAAATGACCTGATAAACTTACAGCCTTGCTCCTGTTTTCTTTTTTCTCCAGTAACTTGTCTCTTCCTTGTACTATTTCCTTTCTGTCTGATCTCACTTTCCTTCTACTGTTCTATTCGTCCTTCCTTCCCTCACTTTCACTTCCCACCTCTTCATAAAACCTGCCCTACAAACTGTCATTGCCATTTTCTCTCCTCCATCCTCTCTCCCCTCTGCTTCCACCAAGGACCGTCGCTCTGAGAAATGAGGGCAGAAGAGGAGGGAGAACTCAGGAGGGTGGGGGGTGGAGACTTGCAAAGACAACTGCTAGAGGAGAGTAGCGGTAAAGAGAGGGAAGTAGAGAAGTGGAGACGTAAAAACAAACTGCACGTCTAATGTGCCAGGATTGCTAATGGACAACAAGAGGCATGGGAATTACACTCCCTCTGATCAGCCTGCTCATCATTCTCCACCGTATGAAGATCTGACTTTCAATAATTTACAAACTTTTGTTTGTTCCTTCAGAAATGTTTCCCAGTTAGTGAAAACTAAGGATCTTAAAGGGTCACTTTTGCCTTTCCATTCCAAATCTTATGCAACTAAGTCACTGTCAACAGTAACACTTTGCAACGGAATTTAGGATCAAATGAAATGAAAATAAGAGGGTAACACGGAATACCACTCACAATAAATTCAAAGAACTGTCTTAAAAGTGGGTAAAAGAAGAGGATAGATATCCTAAAATGTCTATGTTGTGTGTGAATAGTTTTGTTTACCAAGACCAGTGCTGACTAGATTTATCACGGTTTGAGGAGAGTTTGACCAAAGAATGTAGACTGATACAAAGAAAAAAGAAAAAAAGACTAATTAAAGAAACAAAAACAAACAGGCTGACGTGGCATCAACTGGTTACAAAAAAAACATCTCAAGGAGACACAGAGGAGAATGGCATAAAGCACAAAAATGAAGAGTAGGGATGGGCATACTAGTGATTCTTTTGTTTACACTTTATTTGCACTACGGACTTTAGTTTTCACAAATAAAGTGAAAAATAAATTCTGTAGAGTCTCTAAATTGTTAGGAGTTAGTCATCAGCCTTTACATCAAGCCTGCGTGGAATGGAAGGTATTTTACATTGTGTTATCGACATCGCTTTATATTGTATTTTTGTTACAATGTTGCTTCTGTTTTGTTATTTTGTTAGTGCCATTTTTTAAACAATGGTGTGTAGCTGAAAGTAATAGGGGGATTATTTGATTATCTTTATATTGTTACACCGTTTCATTGTGTTGTATTTAGTTAATAAAAAACATTTTAATTTGCCTTAAAT